ATACAGGATACAGGATACAGGATAAAGGATACAGGATAAAGGATACAGGATACAGTAGAAAGGATACAGAATACAGGATACGTGATACAGGATACAGGATACAGGATACAGGATACAGGATACAGGATAAAGGATACAGGATATAGAATAAAGGATACAGGGTAAAGATACAGGATACAGGGTAAAGGATAAAGGATACAGGGTAAAGGATACAGGATACAGGATAAAGGATACAGGATAAATGATACAGGATAAAGGATGCAGTATCAAGGATACAGGGTAAAGGCTACAGGATAAGAGATGCTGAATAAACAATATGGGATAAAAAATAAATGATAAAGAATAAAGGATACAGGATGCATGATAAAGGATACAGGATACAGGATAAAAAATGAAGGAATAAGAAATTAATTAAAGCCGATATTCAAACATTTTTACCCCTCTTGAGAGAAATATTATTGATTGGATCCATTAAAGAATTCATTATATTTTTATATTTATATTTTTAATGATACGTATAATTGGAAAAACATATTCATCGTTATTTTCGTTTTTTTTTTAAAAATTCTTAACAATTGCTTAATTACATTTAGAGTTATCAGAAAAGTATTTAAGGGATCTTGTTAAAAATTGTAAGTTAAGTGTTAGAATTGTTAAAATTATGTTTATTTAATTTACAATTTTATTGGTAATTTTTTTTTATTAAGAAACTTGTTCTTTCCAAAATTTCAGAGAAAGAAATTATTTCTATAAATTTTTATTCCTTCCGTTTTTCTGTAATATTTTCTTTTTATGTTTGCAAAAGGATAAACTAAAAACCACTGGTTTAGGCTCATGAACTTCTATGCACATTTTGCGGCAGATTTGGTTCATATTAACATTTTTACAACTTTGTTTTACATTCCTTAGAAAATTTAAAATTTAAGCTGCTGTACATTATCAATTATATAGGTTGCAGTACAGTATTATTTAGGTTGCTGAATAATATTATTTAGGTTACTGTATAGTATTATTTAGGTTGCTGTAAAGTATTATTTAGGTTGCTGCACAGTATATATTATCTAAGTTACTGTACAGTATCTATTATCTAGGTTACTGTACAGTTTCTCTTATCTAGGTTGCAGTACAGTATCTATTATCTAGGTTTAAGTACAGTATCTATAATCTAGGTTATTGTACATTATCCATTATCTAGGTTTCTGTACAGTATCTAATATCTAGGTTTCTGTACAGTATATATTATCGAGGTTACTGTACAGTATCTAATATCTAGGTTTCTGTACAGTACCTATTATCTAGGTTACTGTACAGTATCTATCTCTAGGTGGCTGTGCAGTATCTAATATCTAGGTTGCTGTACAGTATATTATATCTAGGTTGATCTACAGTATATATTATCTAAGTTGCTGTACAGCATCTCTTATCTAGGTTGCTCTACAGTATATATTATCTAGGTTGCTGTACAGTATATATTATCTAGGTTACTGTACAGTATATATTATCTAGGTTGCTGTACAGTATCTCTTATCTAGGTTGCTCTACAGTATCTATTATCTAGGTTGCTGTACAGTATATATTATCTAGGTTGCTGTACAGTATCCTATCTAGGTTGCTCTACAGTATCTATTATCTAGGTTGATGTACAGCATCTCTTATCTAGGTTGCTGTACAGTATCTATTATCTAGGTTGCTGCACAGTATCTATTATCTAGGTTGCAGTACAGTACATATTATCTAGGTTGAAGTACAATATCTATTATCTAGGTTGCTGTACAGCATCTCTTATCTAGATTGCTGTACAGTATCTATTATCTAGGTTACTGTACAGTATCTATTATCTAGGTTGCTGTACAGTATCTATTATCTAAGTTGCTGTACAGTATCTCTTATCTAAGTTGCTGTACAGTATCTATTATCTAGGTTGCTGTACAGTATCTATTATCTAGGTTGCTGTACAGTATCTCTTATCTAGGTTGCTGTACAGTATCTATTATCTAGGTTGCTGTGCAGTATCTGTTATCTAGGTTGCTGTACAGTTCGCCCTCTAAGGCTAAAAAGAAGGGCGTGAAGCGCCCTGAATTTCTAGTGATTATAAATTATAATGATTTTAAATTATTAAAGGGACTTTAATAATATATAGACTTTATTTTTAAGTATCCCACCAACGGTACGTACCCTTTAAATCTGACAACCAATGAATGAGATATCGTCAATTTTCTATCTTGAAAAGTGCTCAATTCTCAAAATTTTCTGTATTGCGCCACTCTAAAAATGGAGGGTCACTTAAAAATCGAGTTTTTAAGACAAATGAGTTGAGCCTTTGCCACAAACTCAAACGCTCTAATCCCTGTATCTTTACAACCTGGTAATGTAAATCTTTAATATTCCAAACTTAGATTATTTTATCTAACAGAATCCAAAGGTCTACTGCATTGGGTTGCAAAAATATGGGGATTAGAAAATCAGAGTTTGAGTTAGGTCATATCGGATTAAGCAACCGTCTAAAACTCTAATCCGTAATTTATCTCCAACCTGATGGTGTTAACCTTTCATATTTAAAGTTTGACTATCTCAATTAAACAGAATTATTGTTAATAAAAACCATCAGATTGTAAAGAAATATGGATCAGAAAATGACAGTTTAAGAGTAGAGTAATCAATGAAACATGTTTCTTTTTCTACACTCTAAATTACGCAATAATAATCAACAAAAAATCGCTTATTTGGCAGAATAAGTTAAATGACTGCAAATGAACTATTTTTTGTTGAAAATAAACGATTTTTTTTGTCTTTTATTTGGCAGCCATCCAACTTTTGCTCCAAAATAAGACATTTTTTATTTCGTAATTAAGAATGTAATGTTTTTTAAAAGTTTAAACTATTTGTCAGGATCTACAGAAAACTGTCCTCTCTACCCTTCTGGAACCAGCAGGTTCGAATGGAAATAGAACTTGGAGATAGATCTCAGGGTACCAGGGGAACCAGAACCCAAGGACGGAGGAGGGGGAGCAGGACGCTTTATCTCCTCATCTGTGTCGTGGTCGTGTTCGTGATCTCCTGGTTGCCCTTGAACACCTTGAACCTACTCCTAGATCTCGGCTTCAAGGAGACTTTATTTGGGTAAATTTATTTCAAATTCAAGGAGACATTTTTGTAAAATCAAAGTTATATCAACAATAACAATATCAATAACACAAACAAAAAGCTTTAACAATAAATGAATAATCACAACAAAAATAATAATAATAATAATAATAACAATAATAATAAAATATTCACAATACTAATATAACAATAACAATAACAAAAACATTAACAGATAATTATATCAAGAATTAAAAAAAGTTTTAAAAACACTTTAAATATTCCAAAATTACTTTTACATCAAAAATACTTGCATCAAAAACTTTGTGAATTAAATTTCTTGGATCACACAACAAATAAAAGTCTGAACGCGCCATGGGAGTTGTCATAGTTAGCCCTCTCACGGGACTGTGTCAAGAAAATTGACCCCTGTCGTATGTTAGTCTGGTTAGGGTGGCGTAATGTACCATAGGATCGGGTCAGTACAAGCTGTTATCTGGCAGGCCAGTACAAACTGGGCAGGTTCTGTTCGAATTCAAATTTACTACGGGGATAGAGTGAAAGTGAATTTATTAGAACACTATATAGAAACAAAGAATTAATATTGTAAGGCAATACCATGTTTTAGTTTATTGAGGTTTGTATTTCTCACAGTAGTATAAAGTTCTAAGAATGTTAGGATGGGAAAATGAATGAAAGGAACTGTAGTCGTAATTTCTATTTTATCTCTGACATAAAATCATATCCTTAAAACCTTTGTCTGAATCAGAATTCATGAGTTATCAATAACCTTCTCTTTAAAAATTGTTTATGTTAAATCGTGGCTCATCTGTAAAGGGACTTATGTAATCTGTTTCACAAACACATGGAGAGAATTTTAGAGTTAAACTTATAGAAAAAAAGACAATATCATCCATATTTTGCTTAGATAACGTTTAAAAAGTCTCTATTAGATTGGAAGTAACTAAAAATTACAATTTAATTTACAATTTAAGTATTAATTGTCATGTTTTGCAATATCAACCTTTTTAAAATAAAATCAGCAAAACAAAATGTACAACATATTACAAAATAAATCTAGATGATTGCAAAAGTTGAAGTGTTTTTGTTGTTGAAAAGGTATTAAAGTATTCATACATATTTTGGTATTAAAGGTTTGAGACAATCCAATTATGATAATGGAAGCTCTGTGCATTATTAAACAAATAGAATGTGAAACAAAATGTCTTTCAACATCATTTATATGGAAATATGTCTGACTGTAAGAAATAAAGACATTTTTACATTTTAGGACAGTTTATTTACCTCCCTTATTATTTTAACAATTACTTGTAACTTCTAGGCTTTCCGGGAGCTTCGCGTCATCTTACTAGAAACCATTTTAGTTTTTCACTCTTACTCTTCAGGCAACCATTTTTCTTTGAAAATTGAATTTCGCAGATTTTGGGCCCGATCAGTTCACCCTTTGTGACCTTTTCTTGGGAACAAAACAACAAGTATATACATAGAGGGCTGTCTTATTATTTAACACAAAAGACATTTTTACATCCAACCATCTTGTGTACATAAAACAGGTCTAAATATCACACGTCAAGCTAACATAAATTGACGTAAGATTAAAATTTTATATGTTTTCAATGATGGCATGTTTACTTGAAAAGATATTGAGAAAAACAAAAATGTTTTGAATTTCTAATTTGTAACACAATCAGTAACTAGAAGACTGGTGGTGTTACTTAAATTTTACCTTCTTGTTCTGTATTGTTTGTAGTGATCCAATACGATTACATTATAATATTAATACATACTTGTTATCCCCCCTCCGCCCCCCTATCTAGGTTTCTGTACAGTATCTCTTATCTAGGTTGCTGTACAGTATCTATTATCTAGGTTGATGTACAGTATCTATTATCTAGGTTGCTGTACAGTATTGTAATATTGAGTATCCAGCTTCTTCTACCCTCTGCTATACTGATTATGGCCCACGCCAGGTAAATAATAATCTATATATAAATTTGGCTTGTCTGTCTGTCTGTTTGTTTGTTTGTCTGTCTGTCTGTTTGTATCCAATAAACGTCAAAACGGCTGAACCGATCTCTTAGAGAATCAGCAATCCTTTCCTCTGAAAAGGGATGGACTATTCTTAAAATATATTCCCCTGATTGATATTATTATTTCAGGGATGATCAAGGTCCAGCTGAAGTCAAGTTTAGGTCAGCCTTCTCTGTCTGTCATCTGCTAGGGATGTCCTCGGCTATATCTAATCCTCTCATCTACGGATACTTCAACCAGGTTAGAAAACTTCTCTTTTTAAAGGGACTGTTGACGATTTTCAAGTGAACATACCTTTACAGAGTTAAATGTACTCTTTAAACTTTTATCCGAGTAAAGATATCATCTTGTTCTGCAGTAACACTGCTTCAATTTCATAAAGAAACCGCAATTAAAACTTTTTAATCTAAATTAAACATAGGTTTAAATGGAATCGTCGTGAAAAGGGATGAGCTTTAAACTTTTTAAATTTGATTATGTCATTATTTCATTTTAAAAATTGCATTTAAAAAAAGAAAAAATAACTAGTGTTTAATGCTTCAAGCTCAAATATCTGCAGGAAAAAAGAAAGATATTTTTATCGACGCTGAAAAAAATATTTAGCTTCTGAAGTATCCTCAACTTGTCACGCAGCATTGAATAATTAATAGATAGAGAACTAGTTTTCAAATGTCACCCTGCTGAGATACTGTTTCAATACATACAACATTCTCACTTAAAATGAAGTTTAAAAAAAAATATTTTTCTTATCCTATATCACCCACAGGCTCCCTAGGAGTGTCTTTATCTTGATCTCATCATCAATTATAGGTCTATAGCAAGAAAAAATGCAAGTTATGAAAGTTTGAAATTGAAATTAGATATCGAGAGAGAATAAAAAGTCAAAGAAAAACTTAAACTGTGCAATTATATATATATTTTTTTTTATAAAATAACAGATACCAGATATACAAAAAATGAATAAAATATTGATAACATTTTCAATCGTCTTTGTTGTAACTTTAATCGTATATATTTGTATTCAAAATTTGTATCCATTGATTTCCCTCCGGAGGTTTCTGTATGATCATTGGATTTGAGATATTTTTTTTTACAAATATTCCTTTTTTGAAGATGCATCTGATACACGTGTTTACATCAACTGTTGCAATTTCTCTCTCTAATGCAAAATTAAATTTATTGAATTCCCTAGGGTGTTTCAGAATTAGCCTTGGTTTTATGATATTTTTTACCAATTTACTATTATAGCACGATGATTACTTTATAGCAGGTATATTATGAAATTCACGATCAAGTGAGTAGTAATGATAAAGTACACTATAGTTTCATAAAAGAGTTTATTTAGAATCTTGACTTTTTCGTTTTCTAAACCAATTTGAATGTGCCTGGAGTTCCATGATTTCAAAATTCACTTCTTTTAATGACTTTTCCTAAGATCTTCTAGCAATACATGATTCTACAGAAAACGTCTATAAATAGGATAAAATTCGAAATTCCAATATTGAAAAAATTCTGCGATATATAAAGTTTTTCATTCATCTAATATTTCTGGGAGACCAGAGCTGAAAACTTTAGAATGGTGGATATCGGGATTAAGGCTTAATCCACTCTTTTTCTTAATCTGCAGATTAAATATTGCTTGTTCTCCACTCATTTTTAATCTCCAGATTAATTATCCGATCAGGATTAAGGATATCCCATTCAAAAGTTCCCATCTCAGATAGGGTTTCCAGTCGTAATTATGCGTAACACTTTCTTTCACTTACGGAGGAGCATGACGCGAAATTACGTGTTAATTACGTATCCGAAAGAAAGTCTACTTTCGCGTAATTAAGGCGTAATTACGCGAAACATAATACGAAACCATTCCGTAATTAGTAAAGTAAATATTAATTGTCAGAAATGAATATAGCGGGAAAATATGTGTAAGAATATGCGCGCTACAACCATGTCCAATCTGATTGGATAATTTAAATACTTTCAAATTGATTTGAAATTCGGTGATTGTGATGGACCACACCTCTGTAAAGAAAAAAAAGTAGATGGTAGTTCCACATTTTATTGAAAATACATTTCGGTCTAGGTTGACCCTCGTTAGTTCTAACGATATTATAACCATCAATATCGATGTTAAAAACCACAAGAAAATAAACCAACAAAAAAGATTATTTAAAAGAATTTTAAAATGGGCTATAAAATGGACAAAAGGGAAATGAACTCAGATCATGAGATGAAAAAAAGATAATTTGCAAATATTCAATTATTAAAGAATGTTTTAAGAAAATTATTATTCCTTGAGATTGTATCTGTCGAATGAAGATTAAAAACTAACTGCTCAGTTTATATGTATAGTAAGTGGTGGTGGGGGTCGATCTATAATTAACAAACTTTTACGTAAATGAGGGGGGGGGGGCGACTTTTCTAAGAAGGGATAACTATATTTATAACCCTACTGGTTGAAGGGAGGCGAGGAATAAAGTATTTGAGCCAAAAAAATAAATTCTTTTTCGAGAGGGTTAGGGACTTTTTTGATGATATTTTTAACCAGAGCGCAGGGAGTGTTCAAAATCCCATCAAAAAAGTCGAGAACCCTCTAGAAAAAGAAATGTTTTTGGCGAAAATACCTTACGAGCCCCCTTCAATCAGTAGGGTTTTAGATAATTTTATGCCCTGGAAAGAAAGAAGTATGAATTCAAATGTTAACAGTATCAAAATAAATAAATACACAAAAATGGCACGCCAATTATATAACATCTAATACAAAGTTTAAACTTTTAAAAATTGCATATTAAAGAAAATCCCAAATATAAATGCTGGAAGATGATCATTCAAAAGAATGCGGGAACTTCATAGCTAAAAATGCGCTAATATTGAAAGGTGTACTCAGCTGGGGTGATATTTAACTTTTAAACCCATAAGAAAATAGTGAAAATTTTACCCCAGCTCAGCTGGGAATATATGGGTTTCAGGATATGTTTACCATAGATTAAAAACAGGCCACCCAGGGCATAAAATAAACAATACTCTTTTTTAAATACTGAATTACAGTTTACAATTAAATAAAAACTATTTTTTTTCTGTTCATTCCTGAAAGTTCAGTCATAAAATCTCTGATTTATTTAGATTCTCGTTCTTTAAGCAAACCTCTCCCTCCCAAGGTCCTAAACCTTCTCTAGTACGCTTAGATGGTGGAGTTTATGTTCTGCAAGAAGGTTAAAATGTTCCCCTGTAGGCTGGTTTGTCTGGAGGTTTCGCTAATTACGCGGAATAATTACAAAATTTCGCGAAATTACATTGTAGAAATTACGCGAAATTATGACATAATTTCGCGAAATTGAGGTTTCGCCAATTACGCGTAATCCTGCGAAATTACACGAAATGAAAATTATTTTGCGTAACTGTATCACGTAATATTGCGTAAGTGAATAATCTATTACGTTTGAATTTTGAGTGGAGTATTGTTAATCTTGAACCCCTTCAACTCGCCGATATCCCATGTGGGCACTTTTAAATCTGAGGATAAATTGATCACTTAATTAGAATGATTTCTTCAAGATATAATAACCACGCAAATTAAATAAATTACCTAAAAAGGATGAGATTTTAATGACGATCTGAAATCTTTGAAAAAGGCAAATTCTGCTTTGAAAATATTATAAATGTCATACTACTCTCATTGTTTTTATTAAACTAAACAACAAGTATACAGCTAAAGAGACCCACAAATATAAGAATAAGAAGAGACTTATTTTGTTGCAGTCGTTCCTAAAGTCTTATCTTTTGTGGATGGAACTGTTTTTGCAAATGAGCCATTTAAAGAAATATTTTCTAATTGGGACAAAAAAAAATTAGATGTAATTAAAACTATTTAACTTTACACTATCCTTGTATTTGTTTTGTGCATGTATTTGCTGGGATCAACTTTCATTTTTAATTTCGGCCAAATGTAAATTTTTGACTTAATTTCACATTAAAAAAAGAGGGGTTTACTATTCTGCAATTCTGGTTTAGATTCCAAAGGGAATCCAAAATGTAAAACACAAAATCTACAAAGGAAAATATTGAAATATCTTTCCTATTAAAAATTCAAATTCATTGAAAATTGAGTAAAAAATTAAATATATTGAAAATACCAATTCAAAAAACACAACACGAAATCCCAAAAAATATACTGACGATTGAAAAACACTGATAAACTTAATGATCTATTTAACAAATTTGAAATTTGACCATAGATAAGCTACATGTAGTTTTGTCGCGTACCTGGCGTCAACAATTACGTTTGAAGAAGTTCACAGCCGCAACGTTCATGCAAAAATGCAAAAATGCACAATGGACTTAAAGAAAGAAAATATTTGCTATTCCATGATTACTAAGTTCTAGCCACACTCCCTCCCATGGAACCATTAGACCAATACATATCGAGTTGTAATGCAGTCAATAATGTGACAAAATGTAGGTACTTTCCCAAAGGATTTTTCCCAAGTTGCAACTTCCCAAATGTCAATTTCCCAAGCAGCAACTTCCCAAGTCTTTCTTAGCCGCAGAGCTCGGCCCCCGGCATATTCAAGCCGCAGCGCTCGGCCCCCTATCCCAACCTAACTTGCGGCGCCTCAGAGGGCCTAACCAAACCTTTGTGAAGTTGCCGATTGGGAAATTGTCACTTGAGAAGTCGCCCTTGGGAAAATGCCTTTGGGAAAGTACCTAACACCTGTGAAAACATACAGTGTTACCCAAAAAGGATGAGACTTAAGTGACGACCTATAATTCCCTGGCTTACACTCATCCAATGCACAAAACGTACTTGGTCCACGCACACTGGGTACACTAGACCGGCCGGTAACGGGTAGAAACATAGCATCCACGCTGGCTGGAATATATGTTTATATCCTGAATATAGAGTTATTCTACGGTATACAGAGTCTGGAATAAATGTTTATATCCTGAATATCGTGTTATTCTACGGTATACAGAGCCAGGAATATATGTTTATATCTCCTGAATATCGAGGTATTCTACGGTATACAGAGCCTGGAATGTATGTTTATATCCTGAATATCGTGTTATTCTACGGTATACAGAGTCTGGAATATATGTTTATATCCTGAATATCGTGTTATTCTACGGTATACAGAGCCTGGAATATATGTTTATATCCTGAATATCGAGGTATTCTACGGTATACTGAGTCTGGAATATATGTTTATATCCTGAATATCGAGTTATTCTACGGTATACAGACAGAGTCTGTAATATATGTCTATATCCTGAATATAGAGATATTCTACTGTATACAGAGTCTGGAATATATGTTTATATCCTGAATATACAGGTATTCTACGGTATACTGAGTCTGGAATATATGTTTATATCCTGAATATCATGGTATTCTACTGTATACTGAGTCTGGAATATATGTTTATATCTTGAATATCGAGGTATTCTACGGTATACTGAGTCTGGAATATATGTTTATATCCTGAATATCGAGGTATTTTACTGTATACAGAGTCTGGATCATATGTGTATATCCTGAATATCGAGGTATTCTACGGTATACTGAGTCTGGAATCTATGATTATATCCTTAATATCGAGTTATTCTACGGTATACTGAGTCTGGAATATATGTTTATATCCTGAATATAGAGTTTTTCTACGGTATACTGAGTCTGGAATGGGATATTCATACTGTAAGTCGCTAGGATTTAAACCTACTCTATCAAGACAATATTGACATTTAGGATTTATTATAACAAAACATCAAATATTTGCAATCTACACGCAATCCGGCCTTTTGTTATAACGTACTGCCCACTGATATACTGTACTGCACTCTGATATACTGTACTGCCCACTGGTATACTGTACTGCTCTCTGATATACTAAACTGCTCTCTGATATACTGTACTGCTCTTTGATATACTGTACTGCTCTCTGATATACTGTACTGCTCTCTGTTATACTGTACTGCTCTCTGATATACTGTACTGTTCTCTAATATATTGTACTGCTCTCTGAAATTGTTTTCTGCATCAAGGTGTACAGGGTGTCCCAATAATATGGATATAGTTTAGTGTAGATTTTGATATCGTCTTTGTAAATGATTTTTTGATTTACATACAGAGCGTCCCATAAAATATTGTAGTATATCCAAGCTTTAACACCAAACACACATAGTTCTAGAAAAACATACAACTTTTTAAAATGATTCATTCGTTTATAATTTGTTGATAAGTCCCGAATATAAGAGATATAAACGATCCAATATGATGTTGTTAAATACCCCGTAGTATGCATAGGAAAGCTGTAACTCGTAGAGTTTTCGTCTTCTAAAATTTGATAAAAATTTGTTTTGAATGCATACTGTTGTACTTGGTAAGATGAGATATCCTGTGTATAAACACTATTCATCTTCTAGAGATGTTACAGGCACATCATACAAACTTCTGATAAAGGGTAGCGTTGTGAATCTGGCAGCTATCGTAGGATCACGTGTAAATACGTTAACAGTCTCTTTAAATAGTCAGAGCTGGACAATTATGACAGTGATGTCTCAAGTAGCAAGCTGCAGAAAAAACAATCATTGAGCTTTATTAAACAATTTCTGCGCAAAAAGTTAATTTAAAATGATAAGAGAAATCTAACATTTTGCTAGAATACTAATATATCGTTTGCTGCAGTTTAATTAGAGTTTTCTGCTATCTGGACCATTTTGTTTAAAAGAACTTTAATTTTCGGGATTTCCTAAAATATTCTAAAAAATTTACTCCCCTAGGTTATTGGTTTGATATTATTAGTTTCAATCTTGATTGCTTCAGATAAAACTAGTTTTGTGAAACCATTGTGTACATTATCATTCATGCTAACTTTATGATAAGTTTAATTATGAAGTATAATCATCGTGTTATAATGATAAAGGAATTGAGTCTTTGCCACAAAATCAAATGTTCTAATGCCAATATTTTAGCAACCTAATGGTGTAAACCTTTGATATTTCAAACTAAGATTGTTTTGTCTAAAACATTTTTAGTTTGAAATATCTAAGGTTTACGACTTTGTGTTGCAAAGATATAGGGGATGAGAAAATCAGAGATTGTGACCAAGACTCAACTCCTTTAGAATTATTCCAGAATATCATTTCCAATTTAAATGAAAATAAAACTGAAACTAACTTTTTATTTCTGCTTGGTTATAAAGCTTTATTTTAACTAGAAATAACCATTGCATCAACACAAACATTTAAAAACATTAAAAAAATTAAATTTAGCACCATATTATTGGCTGGAATATCAATAAATAGAAAAGCGTTATAAATAGGACTTGATAGATTATATAAAAGGGAAAGTCAGCGTAATTAAAGCGACCAAAAAAGATTGTCAACAGTAGCCTTCAAACTTAATTTATGTGTGTGAAATGGTTTTAGACCTCGACCTTTCTAGGCAGCAAGATTTGATCAAAGAAATTGAGTCTCTGCCACAAACTCAAATTATCTTTTCCCCTATATCTTTGCAACCGGACGGTGTAAACCGATAACATTTAAAACTAAGATTAATTAATATAAAAGAATTCATAGTTTAAAATACTTCAGGTCTTCATCATTTGGTTGCAAAGATAAAGTGATTTGAAAATAAGAGTTTGTGGCAATTCCTCAATTAAAATAACGAGAAAATTACGGACGTTAGTCTCGTAGATCATAATAATAATTTACCGGGTATTTTGTTTAATTAAGATTTAATTGTTGTTACTTTGAAACTACCTTAATTTATTTATTTTTAGGGATTCCGTGAAGAGTTCTGGAAGATTATTCTCCCCTGCAGAAAAACTCCTCAATTCTCCCCCGCTACCCTCTACGCGACTACAAAGTTCTAAATTCTCCCCCGCTACCCTCTACGCAACTACAAAGTTCTAAACTCTCCCCCGCTACCCTCTACGCAACTACAAAGTTCTAAGTTCTCCCCCGCTACCCTATACGCGACTACAAAGTTCTAAAGTCTCCCCTACTACCCTCTACGCAACTACAAATTTCTAAATTCTCCCCCGCTACCCTATACGCGACTACAAAGTTCTAAATTCTCCCCTGCTACCCTATACGCGACTACAAAGTTATAAATTCTCCCCTGCTACCCTCTACGCACTAACAAAGTTCTAAATTCTCCCCCGCTACCCTATACGCGACTACAAAGTTCTAAATTCTCCCCTACTACCCTCTACGCAACTACAAAGTTCTAACTTCTACCCCGCTACCCTATACGCGACTACAAAGTTCTAAATTCTCCCCTGCTACCCTATACGCGTCTACAAAGTTTTAAATTCTCCCCTGCTACCCTCTACGCAACTACAAAGTTCTAAATTCTCCCCTACTACCCTCTACGCAACTACAAAGTTCTAAATTCTCCCCTGATACCCTATACGCGACTACAAAGTTCTAAATTCTCCCCTGCTACCCTCTACGCAACTACAAAGTTCTAAATTCTCCCCTACTACCCTCTACGCAACTACAAAGTTCTTAATTCTCCCCCGCTACCCTCTACGTGACTACAAAATTCTGAATTCTCCCCCGCTACCCTCTACGCAACTACAAAGTTCTTAATTCTCCTCTGCTACCATCTATGTGACTACAAAATTATAAAGTCTCCCCCGCTACCCTCTTTGCGACTACAAAGTTCTAAATTCTCCCCCGCTACCCTCCACGCGACTACAAAGTTCTAAATTCTCCCCTTCTACCCTTTACGCGACTACAAAGTTGTTCTAAATTCTCCCCCGCTACCCTCTACGCGACTGCAAAGTTCTTAATTTTCCCCTGCTACCCTTCACGCGACTGCAAAGTTGTTCTAAATTCTTCCCCGCTACACTTCACTTGACTGCAAAGTTCTTAATTCTCCCCCGCTACCCTTCACGCGACTGCAAAATTGTTCTAAATTCTTCCCCGCTACACTTCACTTGACTGCAAAGTTCTTAATTCTCCCCCGCTACCCTTCACACGACTACAAAGTTCTAAATTCAACCCTGCTACCCTTCACGTAACTACAAAGTTCTAAATTCTCCCCAGCTTCCCTCTACGCGACTAAAATATTTTAAATTCTTTCCTGATTAATCAGTAACATTCCAATCTCACTTAAAACTTTTGCAACCTGATGGTTTAAACCCTTAATAATTCAAACTTTGGCTCTTTGATCTAGTAGGCTTAATAGCTTAAATACAAACCAAGGTTTACGACATCAGTGTAAAGATTAAAGGATAAAGAAAATTTGAGTATTCACGATAGTAACCGTTTTCTTTCCTATCAGACACAAATAATTGCTGAACCTCGTCCTCAAGATTGATCTCGGCCGGTTATTTCGCTTATTTTTAGGAGAATCTGTTAATATTATAACTAATGTGCCCGCTTCTTCTAGTTTAGGCGCTTAATGTTAAAATCATAATTATGAATTCAATTTCGACAATAAAATTTTCATGTCATTCAGTAAACCTGCTGGCCTGGAAACCCGGAGGTGGGGTTTCTGTTGGCTATAAACATTAAACTGTTTTGCCCCTCCAAATCCACAGCCCTCTTCCCAGGTTTTATGTATAGGTTAAAGGATTAAAACCGCCCAGTCTTTTGGGGTTAAGAGTTTGTATCTTTTTTCTTTTGAAGAAATTTGATTATATTTGTAACAAAAAACCTTTAATATTTAATGGCGTATACTATGAAGTTGTTTGATGTTGAGCTTCAGAAATTATTTTCCTCACAATCACAAAATTAAATTTACTATTGCATTTTTTTCATCCGGCCAATAATGAAAATTGGATCATTGTTGTTGTTTCATGTTTGCCAGAATTAAACTTTTCCAGAAAATATTTTGTTTTCAGCAAAATATTTGTTTGAAATATGCTCGTCTATAATCCTATACACGTGAACTGAAAACTATTATATATATCAAATAGGTTCTTGTACAATAGATTTGGTTTAAATTTTCCCAGGGTTGAGGCTAAAAATGTTTGAAACTCATTAAATTTTCCAGGGAGAGATTGGATATTCAAAGACAAAATACTAAACTGCTCTGATGAAATACTATTAAATTTTTTGTTAATCTCATCTTCATCATAGTATTGACAATTATGAATATTATTTTCATAAACCGAATCTTTAAAATTGTATGTAAAATCGAATGTTTGATTATTTTGTTGTACATGTGTAAGTGAGATATTATCCTGGATCATTTAGAAGCTTGAGATCTTTCTCAGTACAGCTGTATTCTGACGTCACAAGTGTCAATTCAGTTTTTGTGTCCAACAAAATTATTAATAATAGTGATAAATTTAGAAAAAAATTGTTTATCTTGCAGTAAAATAAGTGCAATTTTATGTATTCTTTATTTTCTGTTTTTACACTTTTTTATTTAATCTTTGAAAACCTGTCAACTAATATAAGAAAATTTCGTTTTCCTTGTTATATATGACACTTGTGACGTCGTGTATGATTAGTCAATTTCTCCGTTGCCACCTATTGTACTTTATAACCTATTTGATATACATATATAAGCAGATTGTCTCATGATTGTACTTTTATGTCTATATATATATTGCTTATTGTTGAAAAGATACATTTACGTTAATGTTATTTATATAAAAAATTAACCAGTTGTTTATAAAATGTCACATATGTTGAGACCAAATTTAATGAATAGCGAAACATAGTTGAACTGCGAAGACTAAGCTGAACCACTTCTCTTCAACTTGACCCGGTGAACAAGAGACGTGGTTTAACCTAATCGGTTTACCCACTTTTTGCTGATCATCAAATCTGATCAATGTTTAATCGATGTTTATTTATAAACGTTAAACTTCAAAAAAAAATTTAAAAATTATTGAGAAAAAAATAAGAAATTTTTCATTTCCTTTACTTAAAATACTTTAAATATATTGAATGCCAAAAGATATAAAAAAGTTACAAATTTTTTCTCGATTTTTCAGAGGAAAAAAACATAACTTAATACATAAGAATTGCTTTTCTTCAAGAATTTATAAACGAATGTTGTCAGAAAACTATTTAAATGTTTAACTACTGTTGTTTATATTCAGTGTTTAACTTACAGGGTGAAAGTGAAAAAGTTATTGAATATGTTATTAGTAATTTATTACGCTTATTCATTAATTCCTACAAATTTTTTTTATTAAAAATCTTCAAAAAAAAATCAATGTATTGTTCACAATCCGAAATCTAATATATTTATGTATGTAAGAAATATATATTGTTCGTAAAATTATGTTTTACTTTAGATACAGGGTTACTCACAAATGATTAATCTGAAGATTAATTTGATCTTTAGTTTGTATTCAGAAAAGGGGATAAAATTCAACGCTGCAGAGTGAGGTATGCAGAATCCCAAACAGCCAATCAGAAGCCAGGAGATAAAAGATTTTGCGCGCTTTTTAATGAGAAAACTCTCATTGGTCCAATTCTGGTAGGAATATCCAAAAAAAAGAGAAAACTAATTATGGATATTCCGATTAAGCAATCGGAATTGAGTATTTAATTTAAGTTTCCAGCTCTGAACACTTATAAATTTGAAACCTTATGTTGTATATGTTGATATTTCAAATAGTTAAAGTTTAAAATATCTAAGGATAACACCCTTATGATTGCAAACATATGGCTGGTATGTTATAATGTTTAAAATTATTAGATGAAGGGGGAGGGGGTAGGAGGAGAATTTAGTAATTTCCAATTAGAAAATAACTTTATAAATTTCTGACAATTTTTGGAGTAATCATGTTTTGTCTTGTTTTCCAAAACATTTTATAAAAGAAAACTTTCTTTTGACGAGAAACAAAAAATGTCTAGAATGTTGAACATTTAAAGGATTGGGTAGAGACATAATCTGCTCTGCAATTTGCAAACACTTATTATCTGTATTATCTTGTTCTAGACAATTTTTTAATCTTTTCTTGATATTTTGAATAAAAAAGCATTTTTGGTTTGGATTTTTTTGGAATACATGTGTATCCTCTGCAGTTGCACTTTTGATGAATTAATGGAGTTTTCTTTGTCTTAGCGTAGGCATAAAAAGGAGGAAAGGGGGAGGATGGGAGGGAGGGGAGATTTAGACTTGTTCAAATAGTAAAGGGATAGACCGGCTAGACATAGTAGTTGAGCTGACAGTGCAGTATTCTAGAGAACAGTTGTATTGAAAATTTAAAAAAGGACAAAAATGATTGCTAATATTTTTTTGTAAAATCATATTTTGTCAATCTAGGTTTGTGTAAATATTCACAAAAAGATTAAAAAAGCCCCTAAATAAAAAATCACAAAATAAGTATGTTTAAGTTTGCATGAATTCAAATCATGTGTTGAAGATTTCTTGTCTTAAATATTAAAATATTAAGATAAAAAAGAATAAACATAATGGTTAAACTTCCCTTAAATGCTGCATGTACTTAATACTGGCACCAACATTTATAATAATACATAATAAATAACTGACCTTTTATTCTTTGAATCAATTGTTCCTTTTTGTTTAAACAATATTTATTGTATTTGTATTTATTCTATTTGTAACCAATTTACCAATAAACTAAACACTGGGACATTCATTAAGCATTAAACATTAAACAATGTATAGTCAAACAAATTACCAAATTAACTTTTTCCCAAGAGATTAAAGAAGATATCTCATGCACTCTTGACGTCAGACAAAGCTTCGTTGTGAATCGAACATTACACTGAAATGGAGGGATATTTAAAATAAGATACATTTTCTTCTTTTAGATCTGCATTTACGGTTTTCTACCAAACCTATCAATGCAGGAAGAAGTCAAGACAAGTTTCCCAGTTTTGGTTTTGAAATATTAGATAAATATTTTTGAAATATTAGATAAATATTTTTGAA